TAAAATTGCATGTATTATCACTAGCCGTATACAACACAACCAAAATGCGTATCTCAATTTCCATTGTAAAAATACACATCTAACACTTTAAAAATACACAATAACTCTTAAAAACAAAAATACCATCTAGTTTTGAAATTAAAAGAAGTATTGTCATGCATATCAATTATTTGGATAGCAAACTACATATTCCCCTGCTGAAGAAACTCGCAGACATATGGGCTGAGGTCATCCAAAGGAACATGATAAAAGATTAAAAATGAAGAAAATGCAAAGAGGAAAGTGGCCAATGTTCTTCCCAGCTAGATCCCAGCTAGCTACTGTCTTACATAAGACTATATGCATGTAACAGGGACCCCTGCACAGTGTGTCTTCTGTCTTAGCAACTGATTTTTTTCCTGTTATAAAAAGGTCTTTATAGGGTCTTGTTAAAGACCACTTATATTTTTTTCCCTCTTTCTACAGGTCTTACCAGAATATTCCTTCTCACAATGACCTGGCCCAAGCCACCCTACATCACTGAACATGTATGTTCCAAAAGATTACCCATACATGTTGCTAGGTTCACAGAATCCAGAGATCATTGTGTGCATAATTACAGTTAGGATTTGTCAGGAACAAGGATGAGAATTCTTTCTTGAGCAGTATATATATATTATATTATAATAATCTGTATGGCATCTGCATACTTATCTTGCATACCATGAATCACTTGTCTAAAGTTACATCGGATCTTTTACACTTACACTCTAAATCTGTAATACTGAAATCTGGGCTGTGTTGCAGATGAAGGATGTGTCCATGTAGAAATACCAGTGCTAACTTTAAAACAGGTATCTCAGGTGTGAAAAATAGTCTAATTGTCACAGCATGGAAACAAATCTCCAGGGAAGGACATCTGAGTTGAAATCTACAGTGCTGCAGCTTCACTGCTGTAAGTGTTCCCGCTAAATTAGACAAAAAAAAATCACACTGATTTGGCCACTGCATGTACAAATAAATAGAAAATGCACAGACCCCAAACCAAACCAAACCAAAATTTAAAACCCCTGAAATATAATGAAATATTTCCAAGAAAGCTGCAAAAATTGAGAGACCTAACAGAGCTAGGTGAATGGGCATTATTAGAACAGAACAATAAAAAGCTCTGCCTCAGGACTGTATGTGTAATTACTGAAAAAGAAATTATTATGAAGAGGCTGCATTGTCTGTTCACAAATGATAAATGCTCATCAGAAGAAAGAGCAAAAGTTCAAGGAAATAAAAAAAATAATAGATACATAGATGATCAAAGACTGAAAAGCCTAGGAATATATAGTTCAGGAAAAAAGATAAATGATAAGAAAATGTAATAATCCACAGTATGTAAAAAGTAAAATGTAATGTCTCTTGTGATTATGCTAAAAAAGAAGTGACTAAAACTGAAAGCAAATGAATCTAAAATGGTTTAAAAAGGGAGGAATAAGTCTACAAAGCAAATAAACAATAAAATCACAAGAATTTGATAATTTTGAAAGGAGCTTTCTGTCAAGAGATATCCTTGAGGCCAGTAACTTGAACAGGGTGAATGCCTTATGATAAATTAGGTCGCTATTTTTTTAAAAAAATGATTAGGCTCTAGCACATGCTGATTATTAATTGTTAGAGTAAGAAGGTAAGGTAATTTGCCATTGGGCTTTTTTACCTTCCTCTGAGATACAATAGAAAAAGAAATCGAAGTCTAAAGGACCAGGAAATTCATCTAACATGGTATTTCTTTACCCTTAACACAAACAAAAATGTAATAAATATGTTCTCAGGAAATCACTGTGCAATTTACATTAAGCCAGTGCCATTCTACCACCAAATTAGAGAAGGCGGCTGAGCATAGGAGTAGATTTTCCTTCTAAGGAAAGCTCCAAGGGCAGGGGATAAATTAACTCAGAAGTTTCTTCTGGTTCTGCATATTTTACTAATTAAGAGATCTTTGCATACTGCATTTTCACAGCCAATCTGCTAACATTTCTTTTTCTTCTGATTTTTTTTTTTCCCTTCTGCATCTGACACCGCGGCTAATCATCAGAAGAAAACTTCAGTCTACATCTGACAGTCATGTGGGCTGATCATCTCTTGCGCAGTTTATTCTCACAAAACCAACCCCCTTTCCCTATTCTTTCATTCCAGCATTTTATCCTTTCTAACCTGAGAAGCAACAAACAGGAACCCAAATTTGGATCAATTTTAGAGTCCAAATGTGGACTCTACCTCCTGCTTTTGCTGTAACTACAGAAATTACTTCTTTTGCTAAGTCTTCTCACCTTGTACAAAAAAAGTATCAAAAATATTAGAGGGCTTCTGTTATTGTGCTGAAAATTGTTGTTTCAAACTTTAAAATGAAAGTAAATACAAAGCAATTATTTAGAACTGCATTTTTTCACAACGGATAAAATTAAATGGCAAATATGTGAAGTAATAACAATTAAGAACTATGATAACTTTCAAAATGCTGTTTCCATGGAAAATCATCAGGAAAATCCAATACAAATTCTGATTAAAACCTAACCAAGCTAAACACTGTAGACTACCTAGATTCCAATTAAATGTGACAAATTAATACTTGACAGGTTTCAATTCCAATTCTATTTATGTCAGAATGATCCATTAATACTGAAGATTACATTACCAGAGCTTGAACAATACAACTGTACTTAAATATTTAAAATACAAGTGGACTTAAAAATCAGATCACAGAAAACTCTCGCTCAGATATTAAACGTTACATATATGAGGGAACAAAGGTACATTCCATCCTGATCTGTCATTATTTATAGATTAATGTTAGTAAAAATTTCTGGAGGCAGATGACAAGCCACAGCTGAAATCTTATTTTAAAAATGTGACAGCATAATCCAAAAGTCTGTAAAGTATAATTTTCATCACAATGTCACCCACCTTTCAAAGGTCTCAGTTTAAGATTTTATAAAAGAGAAGAAATTCTTGATTATCATATGCAAGTCATGACATTGGATTTTTTTTATGGTACTTCACTTATTCATCAAACAATACATTTTTCTAGTTCTTTGTCTCTATTTACTCTCAGTATACCTATGTATCTATTATTTTGAAGAAAAATGCATATTGCCAAACATAAATGAATTTCTTTTAAAACATCAAAGCAATGTCTAAAATATATCAATTAATACAATGCAATGCTACTTCTTGCATCAACTCAAAACCTATTTTTGATACCTCTCAAGAACTGAATTCATCTGGCTCTTCATTTCCAACTACTTCAGAAAGCGGGGTTATTTTCACTGGGTACAGAATTTATTAAAAGGTATGTTTCATAGTTGCTCTGCAGTTTTTCTGATATCCTGCATACGCACTCTATTTTAATATACTTTCTGAACTTGGAAATTAATCTCTCTACTACACTGCTGTATGTCTACAGGAATGAACAAATTGTTTAGCTTCATTTTCATTTAGCTTCATTTTCTTAACTAGAAAAAAATCTCACTACAAAGTAGATAATAAAATAATCATTCCAATATAGGATTAATCTCCACAAATCCCCATTTTTTTTTCTAATAACAATATTACTCCCTCACCTATTACCCACCCAGGAAAAAGGAATATATAAAAAAATATATTCATACAGTCATGTGAGTAGAAATTATATGCACACATACACACATTTTACTATATGTTTTTTTAGATAGATAAAACCATTTTTTGTTTTGATCAATTCCTATGCATAATTGTACATAGTCATTTGCTTTTGGAATAGACATTATAAGCAAATGCAGACTGCTGTAACCTTTCTTCAGTAACATATACTGCATTTTGGCATTATCTTATCATGGAAAATAATATATTTTATTGAGTCAACACGTCTATTTCAGAAAAGACAAAAAAAAAAAAAAAAAAAAAAAAAAAAAAAAAGCAAGAACAATTATCCACTGCTGTCATCTCTGAAAAAAAGCCAAACTTGGCTATGTATTTACTCAAACTAGTTCATTTATTCTATACCAGAAAATATAGTCTCTTCTTACATATTCCTATTCCTAGCAGACTAAAAAGAAATTATGTTTTTGTTTATCATCCAAAAATGTTCATTTTGACATACAATAATCTATTTTTATTATTTTGGGGTAAATCCAAAGACAATGAAGTCAATTACTGACGTCATCAGACTTTAGATGAAGGCCAATAAGTAGAGGCCTGTAAATAACTCAAGGTTCATGAAATACATTTCAAATTGAAAGATTTTTAAATTTTCTCAATAATTTTAGGAAAGGAAAATAAAAAATAAGATTTAAATTACCCCATTTTTAATTGCTGAAGAATCACTCATAAAATGCACAAGGATTCAGTTTTCCCCTTCTATATAAATGAACTCGGAATTTAAAGGTGATGTCATAAAAGTATTGTGCCTAATAAAATGTGGGAAAAAAAGGAAAGCCATGTTCCTTTTGTCTAAATAATCAAGTATATCAAGTACTGAAGTGACACTCAGTGTTATTTTGAAAACAGTTTGTATCAGATTTTGGGGAGTAAGGGAACTCTCTAGTACGGGGTTTTTAAATCCTACTTTCTTTTTACTAATGCTGTGTATATTGCTTTCTGGGAAATTTCCTAATTAGTAGTTGAACCAAAAAAAAAAAAATAAGGAAGAAAAAGAAAATACATGCCTATTATGGTCCTTTATCTAAAAAGAGAACTATAAAATTTAATTAAATTACCATTTTCCCAGCCCTCTCCTGGAAATTTTTTTTCAAGGTTTTAATTCTTCCTGCAGTATAGTTTTAAAATCATGTAACGAAAAGAAAGTGCTGGTTTTAATAGGAATATTATGTTCCATTATTTGGTATATCCTCATTTTAATAGACTTTAAAATAAAATAATTACGATTTAAACTATTTAAGATATTTATTTGTTTATTTTGGTCTGACCTTTCCAAAAATCTACTTAGTATCACTTGCTAGTGTGATTATGTGTGTGAATGTCGTGTTTGCCCCTACCATTTTCCATATGCTCTGCCTCACCAACACTGCCATCCGGCGTAGTCCTTTCGTAGTTGTCCTCTGGGAGTGGAAGGGCACCCAGTCTTGGCCCTGATGAACTCTTACTGCTTGGTGTTTCTGACTCCTCCAGACCGCTGTCATAGCAACTCTGCAATGACCCTTGATGCGGGTCCTGAGGCTGACTCACAACAGAAAACGTCACTCTACGAAACGGCTGCAAGAGAAAAGATTCTGAATGTCACTGAGAAGTTCCGTCTTTGAACAACTGATTCTCAAAACATGACTTAAGCAAACTAGTATCTTACACATTTACTGATTAAACAATTTTCTCTAAATTAAAACAAACAATAAGTACAGTCCTTAAAAGGCTTCAGTAGGGGTAGTCTATGGATTTTTGGTGTGCAAAGCAGTCCAGAACCTTCACACAGTTTTGCATAGTCTCCTTTCAGATACTTGCAACAGCTAATACATATATATATATATATATATTCCAACTAAAACCTCCTGCACATATATATATATATTCATACATATAGTTTCTGTTTTCCCAGTAGGAATAACCTGAATGGAGTTTATACCAGACTGCATAAAGGTACTTGACAATGTGTGCCTGGGTATGTTTAAGACTGTGTGGGTGGGCATAAATGCTCACCTGTAAACTATGTTGTGGCTATTAACAACGTAGCAACACACCCATAAGCTTTTTCAGAAATCAGTTCCTGTGGTTTGGAAGCTAGTTGATATGAGAGGGGAGAGGTAAAAAAGGTGTTCAATCTCTTAGCTCTTTTGCCATAAAATTCAGTGCCTGGAGATAGGGTGTGTTGCCAGCTGACTTAATAAAACCTTTAAAGTATTGCAAGCACAGCTGACACCACACGTTTCCACTGGGACTGTAGAAACACAGATTGTTACAGATTTATATTCATTCAAAATGACAGATATTATTGTTGCTTCTAAGAGTTTACATATTGAACTCTGACATCCATGTGTATTCCAGAAGTGGGAGACTTGTATCCCTACATTTCAAAGGACATTGAAGGCAGACTACAATATTCAGTGAAAAACTAAGGGATTCTCCTATGCTTTAAACTACCTCCGAGTGAAATAATTTACTGTTAAAAATTTGCCTTTTCTTTATTTGGCTCTGACCAAGCTCTGCAACACTAGAAAACCACATAAAAGTATCTGAAGCTCTAATAAACAACCTACTTTACCAGGTAGACTTGTGTGTTCAAACAGATATATACAGCTGTGTAAATACGCACATATGTGTGTGCATGTGTTTGTAGATATATTTATCCAGAAATCACCTTCTAAAGCATACATCAATAGGTTCATTTTATAAGACACTATGCAGACTTTTCTTGTTTAAAATGTGAGGTCTGAGTGCAACTGCCCACCTTCAGATTCGAATGTGTTTCAAGCCCTATGTTGGATGCGACATTGAAATACATCACCCTCCACTAGCATCTCTGGTAATTAAAGAGTGGAATCGTGTACACAGGCCAACAGGGAGGAAAGTCTCTCATAACTTAAACTAGAAATTTACACAAGTCCTGAAAAATGGAAGTCTACATTAGTCTTAGGATTAGAGGGTGGAGTTTCGGTTAGAATTAATATTTTTAAAAAATGCAAGTAAGGCTTCCTGGCTGAAGTAAATCAGAATATTATAAATTTGAATGTTGCCATAAATATGAGAAGGTTCTAAGCTAAGTCATGGTATTCTCATCATGAGTCTCTGGCCTTTTAAGGTTAGCTACTATTCTTTAGGTGCAAAGTGCTTTTCTACAAATTTAATTTAGAGCAATTTTATACTGTATCAAGTGCAAGGAGAACAGAAGAACAAAATGAAAGAATGGAGAGCAGAAATAATGCCTTCCCACATTAAAAATAAGTTTACAGATGCTGCCTTTATTACCAAAGTCTGTAGAAATAATAAAAAGTGTATAGTGGGATTAGAGCTCCTGTGTTAAAACATAAATCTACAATGCACAATTTGAATATTTTTTTCCCCACAGATACTCAGCAATATCCCCTTTCAGTGGTATCCGGAATGAAGCAGCATGTTGAACTACATGAGAATTCTAAACATTTTTCCTATTGGTTTTAAACCATGAAAGGTGGATAAAGTCCTTTTGCAAAATGTCTGTGACATGCGTATTTTATTTTCATATTTCAGTAAAAGCTTAGGTATTGTTTTATTCATAATTTACATATACATTTACTCCCTCAGAAAAAACTAAATGAATATAAAAAATGGTAAAGTGCCTTAATCTAAGATTTTCTATAATTTCAGAGGTAACCAGTATTCTTTTTTTTTTTTCTTTTAATTATGGTAGCAGTCATTTCCCCTCTGTGTTTTCTTCTCACAGTTGAACATTGAAGTACATAGAAAGCTACCAAAATGAAGACAACATTTCAATCTGGTAAACAGATTTTGTTATTTTCTTCTAATATGAGTATTTTCAGATACCTTAAGAATACTTAAGTACAAGGTAAGGGCTTGTTTGTCCAGTAGAGTTCATTACTCCCATTCACACTGAGTGAACTAACAGACTATTTCCACTGCCCTGGCATTGCTGTTATATTATTTTCTTCACAGTACTACAATGTCAAAAGACTAGCTCCCACTTGCGACAACATTAAAGATGAGATATGCTTATATGGGAAATACAGAGGCACTATTTACTAAGTATGCCCAAATTGCTAGCACAATCCAGACCGCACATCTATATTCAGAATACAGCTCAAGGAATTGTGTAAAGATAGAAGATAAGGATTATTCTTCACACACCCTTAATTCATTTCTGCAATGCCCTGATGGATCCTAAGATGAAGTTTTAAGGTAAAGCCTTAAAATGTTTTCGTGCTTTACAATTTACACCTTGCAAGTTTGGTTTTAGTGAACTACACCTCCTATATTGGAGAAGTGGAGCTGTTCTGTCAAAGGAAAGGCAACTTGCATTATGAGACCAATTCATTGTTTCACATACTCCATTCAGTTCTACTTATTCCTAGTTATCAGGTAAGACATTCAAACTGACCAGAAAAATAAGGAGAAGTTGATCACTAATTGCCTATTCACTAATGCTCAGAGGGCCACAGGGTAATGAAGATTCGAAGGGACCCGAGGTTTCTACTCCAATCTCCTGGGCAGAGCTTTGTGATCACAGTAGGCTCCTCAAGGCTTAGATGCAGCCAGGTCTTGAGAACCTTCAAGGATGGAGCAAAATATTCCAGCCAGCCTGTTCCACAGCCTGACTGCCCTCTTGGGAAATGGCTTCTCCTTTTATTCTGTCTCTATCTCTTCTCCTGTTTCAGTCTATGCCTCTCACCCTCCTACCATGCATCACTGCGAAAAGTAAGGCTCTGTCTTCTTGATGTCCTGCCACAGGTACTCCCCAAAGCAGCCTCTTTACCAGGTTGAACAAACCCACGACCCTCACCTGCTCTCAACAGAACAAGCACCTCTGACAATTTTGGAGGCCTTCCATCTCACCTTGCTCCAGTTTGACATTGCCTTTCTTGTGTTAAATTCAATGCAACCTATCGTGAAAATATGAAGATCCTGCTCCTTCTTCAGTTCCTGGAAAACTGTGTTTTCAGTTCATGGAGAACATGACACTTAGGGAGAAATCAAAGTCTGTATTTCATGACTATCACACTCCACGCATTGGTCCTTATTCCAAAGTATTCTAAAATACCATCTTGGAACATCCTCTTCAAAATTTCTCATTAAGATTTAATCTGAAGAGGTAAATATTACCACCTACTCCCGAAGTACTGCTTAAAGGTTTTTAAGATTTTATTCCATCAAGGGTGATGAATCAATGCCACCTACTTCCTAGATATAATCACCTTCCTAGTGTCTTCTAGACACAGAAAAGACACATTTTATTAGGACTAGACTACATCATTTGGAGTAATTACTGGAATCACAGCAATGCAACTTTAGGATTTAAAATAAATTACCAAGGATTATTTAAAACTTTCTGGCCCCCTTCATGCTTGCTTTTTGGGAAACTTGTCACAAGTAGATCACAAGTAGACAGCACCTGGTTATCACATCTGCAATTACTATAAAAATAAAAGTAATTATACTTAAAATAAGTATCATGTACTGGGAACTCTCTAGTTCCCCTTCCCATATTTTTTTCAGGAATTAGGTCTTCATTAGAATGTAGAGAAGAAAACAAGAATAACTTATGGATGTCTGAAAATCCCTTGGAATTAGCACATGGAATCTGTGCTATAAGCTAAAAGAAATTTGATAGACCTTTAGTAAGTTATTAATAAATGAGGGTCAAAACAGATTCAGGTATTCACCTTCCTGTTTTTCTCAAGTGCTA